CCTCGTAGCGTACCAGCATGCAGCGACCCCGCAGCCACCCTGGTCGCCGCAGCCCCAGCTCGGCCGACAGACGGATGCTCTCGCAGTTCCCCCGCAGCCGCTGCACCTCCTCCTCGTGGAGGGGAGCCTCCCCTTCAGACGCCCACTTCTTCCAGGTCTCGTACTTGCCGGAGAAGGCCACCATGCGGGAGGCCAGGACAGCCCGGGGGTCCCGCACCAGCTGGATGATGCGCACGTCCAGCCGGGGGTCCTCCACCAGCGGCTGCAGGAACTCCAGCTGCCGGATGCGCACCGTCTTCAGGGCCACGTGCTGCTTGCGCCGGCATGCCTCAGCGGCCAGGGTGATGTTGAGGGGGCCGCAGCGGCGGTTCTTGCAGTGGTACTTCTCGAAGACCTTCTTGGTGCTGGGTGTGCAGACGGGCTCCTCACAGAGTGAGCGGCTCGAGCCTCGCCGAAACATGAAGGGCGTCAGGTGGCCCTCAGGTGCCGGCGAGATGAAGCTCTCCAAGATGTAGAGGTCACAGAGGAGGAGCTGCTTGAGGACGTCCCGATAGACCAGGGCCGAGCCCACCGCGTTGGCTCCCCCCGGCTCGAAGGTCACCATCCTCTCGATGTGCCAGAGGGGCTCAAAGAGGTAGAAGATGCTGCCTTGCTGGTTGAAGAACTCCCCCACAAAGGAGGAGCCAGTGCGGGTGGTGGCCATCAGCAGGACATGCCGCCGCGGCCCAGGGTCGCCATCGCCTGCCAGCTGCAGGGTGACGTTGCGCAGGTGGGACCTCAGCTGGGAGAAGGCAGCGTCCAGCTCTCGCAGCGAGGCCAGCGAGCCATTCTCGGCCAGTGCTGGGCTGGCCTCTGTGCCGTTTGCCTCCGCCAGCGCCTGTGGGGACTGCTTCAGCTTGTCCGACACCCTGTGGGGAGACCCAGCCCAGCCTGGAGGGGAGCAGGACCACCCCTGCATCCCAGTAGGGTGTTTTGGGGGGCTCCTGCTGCAGAGGAGCTTGGGATGTGGGGGAGAGAAAGGGTTAAAAGCATGGGGTCTCTTAGGTACCCGCTCCCTACCTGGAGATGAAGTTGTTCTCCTTCTCGATGATGACGAGGCCGACGACAAAGACCAGCAGGACGGCATACTTGCTTCTCATCTTCAGGCAGTGCAGCAGCTCCCAGAAATCCTGAGGCAAAGCACGTCGGATCTCCATGGGGGGGACACACAAGTCCCTCCCGCCCGCTGGGGAGCTGTCCTGGGCTAGCCGCCCGGCATCCTCTGCCCCACAGGCCCTGCCCGGGGCGGCCCTGCCTGCGGGGAGAAGGAGGGTCAGCGCAGTGGTAACTCTCTGCAGGCAGGGTGGAGCAGGCAGGGGTCAGAGGCTGACCCTTCCCACGAGGGACAACCAACAAGGTCTTGACAAGAGCAGTAAAAAAGGGGGGGGGGCTCCTCCCTAGAGCTCCCATCCCGCCTGCGAGGAGCAGCTGCCCGAAGACCCCATTGGCCGCTCCCCCTCCTTCCTGAAATACATCTGCCCGACAGAACCTCTTCCCGTGCCTCTGCTGGCCACCGCTGCCAGCCCTGAAACCCAATCCCTGCTGCCCCAACAGCTGCCTGCTCCCTGCCGGCCAAAAACCTGCTGATGGCAGCGAGGGTCCCCCCCGGTTGCGAGAGCAGCTCCTCATCCCAGTCCACAGGGCATTGTGGCTCTCAGCCTCTGGAAAGAGCTACTTTTGGGGAGGGTTGCAGGCTCCACCGTAGGGCCCCGGCGTAGGGCTGCATGGCTTCCGCCTTCCAACAGCACAGCAGCGGTGGCTGCTCAGACATGAAAATGAAACTCAGAGGGTTTCCAGGAATGACAGCGGCCCGGAAAACACTGCTGCTGCCGCCAGTCCCACTCGAGCAGTAAAATGCTCTTGGAGGCTTTTTCCGAAAAGAAAAAAAAACTCGAATGATGGTGCAGCCACTTGGTGCGGGATGCAAAACCCACCGGGAGACTCAGCATCCCCCCAGGCAGAAAAGACCACCCCCCCCCAGCAGCCCTTGCTCTTCCTCCCAGCGCTGACGAAATCGGGGTGATGGCGGGAGCTGCTCTGAGTTGCACGAAACCCATGTCCCAAGTGGGACATAGTGGAGATTTTGGGGGCCAAAGCCGCCATTTGAGACCCCGAGGCAGGTCTCCAGCATGTGTCACGTGTGCAAATTTACACACGTAGGGCTTGCCGGCACCTGCTACCTGGCCGCTGGTTCGCACGCCTGGCGTCTGGCCAGCCACGTGGGTGATGCTGTTTGCTCATCCCGCTTTCTTGGCCAGACTTCCGGTGACTCAGGGAAAGTCTGTTTAGGTTTGGTTTGGCTCCTGCCAGCGTGACCCCAGCAACACGCCCCACCCCTTCTTTCAGGGGTGAAGGGGTCCCGGCACAGCCCCATCCTTCGGGGGGCCCCCAGGGTTTGCCAGAGGGGAGATGCCCTAGCCAAGCTGCGGTACCCACAGTCCTCAGCAGGGTGTGGAGCGGGGAAGCCCTGCCAGGCATTGCATCACGCCCAAACCTCCTCAACGCCGTCCGTGGCCAAAATGTACATTTTTTGGTGTTGCTCACTGTATGCCCCTCCCGCTGGGAAGGGGGACAGCCTCAGGACTGCAGGCGGGAGGAGAGGGACGTGCCCTGTGGCCAGGGCAGCATTGCAGCCTGCCCAGTCCCTAGCCCTCTCTGCGGGAGGACCAGGATTTTCCCAGCTTGAGCAAACCACTCAGCTCCAAGGGCTTGGCTTTGCGCCGTCTCCTTCCCAGCAAAAGCTGCTAAAAAGGAAACACCGCCCACACACACGCACCCAGGAAACCGGTGCTTCGGTAGGATGCAGGGACCCCACAGAGCCCTGGCAGGTCCCAAGCCCCCCCGGCTCCCCCCTTCCCCCTGCAGCGAGCGGCACCGACATCCCCCCCCCCTCACGTATGTGTATGTATTTAACAGTCCTGTTAGTTTAGTTTGTCAGCACGCCACTCCTCGGGGACAGGCTGGCAGCCGGGGTAGGTGCCTTTTGCC